GATGGAGAGAATCTAGAATCTACAAACTGCAAGACGTGCAGCAGTACACCCCAGGTAAGTACCAAGGGGCCCTTTGGGCATCAGAACAGGGGAAGGGGGGCACCAAAGGCACCATCTGGAGGGCTCAAGTGCCTCTATACTAATGCTAGGAGCATGGGGAACAAGCAGGAAGAACTCGCACTCCTGCTTGCAGATAATAACTTTGACTTAGTGGGGCTACTGAAAACCTGGTGGGACCCTACCCATGACTGGGTGGTACATATTGAGGGCTATAGGTTGTACAGAAGGGACAGAGTAAGGAGGAAAAAGGGCAGGGTTGCTCTTTATGTAAAGGAGCATTATACATCTAACCTAATCAAAATGGGATCAGAGGAGGAGAAAGTTGAGTCATTGTGGGTTAGGATACATGGAGGTCACAGGGAAAGGGCCTGGGTGGTGGGAGTCTGCTACAGACCACCAGACTAAGAGGAAAAGCTAGACTTGGAATTCTTGAGGCAGCTCTCAGAGGCCGTATGGTCTAGGGACTTGGTTGTCATGGGGGACCTAAACTATTCTGACATCTGCTGGGAGGAGCAGTCAGCCAAATCCAGTCATTCACATAGGTTCTTAACGTGTGTGCAGGACCGTTAAAGCACAGGGGGGTGAAGACTGCAGGGATGGTAGCCCCTGAAGAGGCCACAAAGTCTGCCAAGTTTCAATGAGATAGGAGCAGAGGTTTGGGGGAAACCACCCCAAATTATTGAAAGCGAAACTCATGTCATGTGTATGTGTTAAGCTGTGTCAGAGTTAAGACTGCAGGGATGCCAGCCCCTGTGGAGGCCACAGAGCCTGCCAAGTTTCAAGGAGATAGGTGCAGGGGGTTGAGCGAAACTGTACTTCAAACTGCAGACAAGCAAAACTCATGACATGGGTGACACTGTGTGTGTTAAGGTGCAGCAGGGTGAAAGCTGCAGGCCTGCTAGCCCCTGCTGAGGCTACGAAGCCTGCCAGCTGTCAAGGAGATAGGTGCAGGGGTTCTGGGGCCCTGTACCTCTAGCTGCTGATAGGCAAAACTTGTGACATGGGTGCTTGTACAACTATGTCTGTCTTGGGGCATGGCGCGGGGTGGAAACTACTACAGGCCTGACTGCTAGGCCCTGCTGTGGCCACAAAGCCTGCCAGCTGTTAAGGAGATAGGCGGAGGGGGGTTCTGGGGCCCTGCACCCCTAGCTGCTGACAGGCAAAACTTGTGACATGGATGCTTGTGCAGCTGTCTCTGTCTTGGGGCAGAAGCAGTTCCCGGCTCTGTATTGACTCTTTCCTCTTCTTAGTTTGTGGTTTTGTAGGTGTTAATTAGTTTGTAGGTCCTTGCTCATTAACTCGTTATCCTTGCTAGCTACTGTGTATTGAGCTGGTTCCTGAGTGAATCGTGACTGATTGGTAACACAGTAGCTTAGCAGCCAGGCCTGCAGTAGTCCCCACCCCACAGAGCCCCAAGACAGACACAGTTGCACAAGCAACCATGACACTAGTTTTGCCCGTCAGCAGCTAGAGGTGCAGGGTCCCAGAACCCAGAAGCACCTGTACCTATCTCCTTGACAGCTGGCAGACTTTGTGGCATCACCAGGGGCTAGCAAGCCTGCAGCTTTCACTCTGCTGTGCTTTAACTCACACAGTGTCACCCATGTCACAAGGTTTGCTTGTCTGCAGCTTGAGGTACAGTTTTCCCCAACCCCCTGCACCTATCACCTTGAAACCTGGCAGGCTTTGTGGTCTCAGCAGGGGCTACCATCCCTGCAGTTTTCAACCCCCCTCTGCCTTAACACACACACAGTGTCACCTATGTCATGAGTTTTGCTTCTCAGCAGTTTGAGCTGCAGTTTCCTAGAAACTCCTACACCTATCTCCTTGAAACATGTCAGGCTTTGTGGCCTCAGCAAGAACTACTACCCCTACAGTTGTCACCTCACTGTGGCTTAACACACACATGTGATATGAGTTTTGCTTTCAGGGCTTTGAGGTGTAGTTTCCCAGAAACTCCTGCACCTATCACCTAGACACTTGGCATGTTTCATGCTCTCAGTAGAGGCTACCATCCCTGCAAGTTTCATCTGAGTCATCCAAAAGACAACAAAGTTATAGATATTTAATTGATGCTCCATTATACCTTATGGCTGAATCTCCGCATCTCTGAATCTTTTCCGAATCTTCTCTGAATCGATTCGGAAAGCCTAAAGCTTCCAGCGATTCAATTTGGATTCATAGATTTGGCCTCTGAATCATCTGCAAATCCGAATTGTGATCCAAAGCTTTGCACAGCCCCAGCATATAGGCGGTGGAAGCAGAGGGAAGCTACCAAGGAGTATACCTACTTGGCCCTCACTTGCAGGGAGGCAGTTAGAAAGGCCAAAGCAACTATAGAGCTGAGGCTGGCAACACAAATTAAAGACAACAGAAAGTCTTTTTTTTAGGTACGTAGGGAGTAAAAAGTAGGTGCAGGGCAGCATAGGACCCCTAGTGAACAAGAAGTAGCAATTAGTGACAGAGAGGGGGGACAAGGCTGAGCTATTCAATGAGTTGTTTGCCTCTGTTCCTGAACAGGGCTCAAGATAAGTCTCCTAATGGGTTCTCAGATGGGCATCAGAGGGACACCAGCCCACCAACTGTTGACGCTGACTTGGTGCATTTGGATGGACTGGATGTGTTCAAGTCAGCAGGCTTAGATGAGCTGCACCTGAGAGTACTGAAGGAATTGGCCGGTGTCATAGCAGAACCACTGGCACAGCTGTTTAAGCACTCGTGGTGCTTGGGTCAGGTCCTGAAGGACCAGAAAAGGGCCAATGTGGTCCCTGTTTTCAAGACGGGTAGGAAGGAGGATCCAAGTAATTATAAGTTAGTCAGTCTCACCTCCATCCATAGACATAGACATTAGGGCTGAAAGGGACCTTGGAAGATCATCAAGTCCAGCCCCCTGCCCCAGGGGCAGGAAGTCA